CTGTGTCTGTGTGTCTGTGTCTTTGTGTCTGTGTCTCTGTGTCTGTGTCTCTGTGTCTGTGTCTGTATGTGTCTCTGTCTGTCTGTGTCTCTGTCTGTCTGTGTCTCTGTCTGCCTGTGTGTCTGTGTCTCTGTGTCTCTGTGTCTGTGTCTCTGTCTGTCTGTGTCTCTGTCTGTCTGTGTCTCTGTGTCTGCGTCTCTGTGTCTGTGTCTCTGTTTCTCTGCCTCTGTCTCTGTGCAGGTGGTGATGGACTACTCTAGCCACCACCACCAGCTTGTGGGCGTGGCTGGCAGGACCATCACGTGGCCTGGTGGGCGTGGCTCCCTGCCTCCAGACGAGCCGCCCTGCGGATTCGACAACGAGTTGTGCGCGTCCCGTGGGTGACGTCACAATGAGACACACAGAGACACACACAGAGACACTGAGACACACAGAGACACACACAGAGACACACACAGAGACACACACACAGACACACACAGAGAGACACACACACAGACACACACACAGACACACACAGAGACACACACACAGACGCACACAGAGACACACAGAAACACACAGAGAGACACACAGATACACACACAGAGACACACACACACAGACACAGAGACACACACACAGACACAGAGACACACACACAGACACACAGACACACATACAGACACACACAGAGACACAAATAGAGAGACACACACACAGACACACACAGACACCTAGAGACACACACAGACACACACACAGACACACACAGAGAGACACACACACAGACACACACACAGACACACACACAGACACACACAGAGACACACAGAGATACACAGACACCTAAAGACACACAGAGACACACAGTGATAGTCATAGAGAGACACATGCACACATTATGTATATTGTATGTATATGCTGTGTATATAGTGTGCATACGTTATGTGTATATTGTGTATGTAGTGTGTATACATTATGTATATATAGGGTATATATAGTGTATATAGTGTGCGTATGTTATGTATTATACATATTGTATATAGTGTATATTATTTATATGTTGTGTATAGTGTGTATGTAGTGTGTATATATATTATATATTGTGTATATATACACACACAGTGTATATATATACTATATATACACTGTGTGTATGTTGTGTATAGTGCGTATATAGTATATATTACACATAGTGTGTATAATGTGTGTATGTTGTGTATATTGCATATAGTGTATATAGTGTGTGTTGTGTATGTTGTGTATATAGTGTGTGTGTTTTGTTCGCTGTGTATTGTGTATATAATGTGTGGATGTTGTGTATATGCTGTGCATGTTGTGTACGTTGTATATAATGTGTGTATATTGTGTATATGATATATGTGTTGTGTATATTGTGTATAATATGTATATGTTGTGTACATTGTATAACAGGACCCTGCGGGGTGGGCTGGTAGGAATAATACTAATACCGGTACAGGGATATCGACCGGGTATAGAGGAGTTAAAAAGAAAATGATTTGTGCATGGGGGGTGAGCGATGGACGTCCACACCCCCCTCCCCACTGACTCGCGCGCCCACAGAGCGATGACGTCCACACCCCCCTCCCCACTGACTCGCGCGCCCACAGAGCGATGACGTCCACACCCCCCTCCCCACTGACTCGCGCGCCCACAGAGCGAGGATTGCAACAGGCGATGTCATTGGCTGCGCCGGATGCGACGTTTAGTTCATTTAGTTCACGGATCGCAGGGGGAGTGGGCGGCCATCTTGTCAGACAGACGGACGGCCTCGCGAAGCCTGTCGCAGTAGGCCTCGCGAAGCCTCCTGCACTAGGCCTCGCGAAGCCTCCTGCAGTAGGCCTCGCGAAGCCTTATGCACTAGGCCTCGCGAAGCATTCCCTGCAGTAGGCCCACGCGAAGCCTTCTCTGCAGTAGGCCTCGCGAAGCCTTCTCTGCAGTAGGCCTCGCGATGCCTTCTCTGCAGTAGGCCTCGCGAAGCCTGCCGCACTAGGCCTCACGAAGCCTGCCGCACTAGGCCTCGTGCCGTGCTTTTCGTGCACAAATAAGGCGATTAAATGTATCTTGTCTCTGTGTTAATAAATGTATTTTGTCTCTGTGTTAAAAAAACGTGCTGCGTTTCAGTAAAGTAAATTTGAAGCGAATTTTTTTACACTTTTTAAGCCAGGAAAGCCCCACTGAGTCAAAAGGTTTTTGTAGGGTCCTGCCAAGTGTTTGCAGTAGGGGGCGATGTTGCTACACCAAATCGGACGATACGAAGGGAGAGATTGAGGCCTAGTTCTAGGCTTTAGGCCTAGCTGTAGGCTTTAGGGCGCTGTGAGTTAATTTTTTATTTAAATGTTTTAATGATTTATGTAAAAGCTTTAAATGTAAATGTTTCTATTTAAAAACATGAGGGAATGTAACATTGCTAAACATAACTCCCTTTCACACACGCGGGGGTACGATACGAAGGGAGAGTTTCAGGCCTAGTTCTAGGCTTTAGGCCTAGCTCTAGGCTTTAGGGCGCTGTGAGTTTTTTTTTATTTAATTTCAAAGTTTTAATTAACAGCTATCTCAGGGAATAAGGGAATGTTACACGTGTCATGCCAAGTGTTTGCAGTAAGGGGGCGATGTTGTTACCAGGATAGCGTCACTGAGTCTAAAGGTTTTTGTAGGGTCATGCCAAGTGTTTGCAGTAGGGGGCGATGTTGATACACGGACGGACGGACGAACGGACAGTCGGACGGACGGACGGACGGACACATTAATCTATTGGTGGTCTGGTCCACTTCGTTCCTACCAGTATAATGGGTGTATATAATGTGTGTATGTTGTGTTTATAATGTGTTTGTTGTGTATATAATGTGTGTATGTAGTGTATAGGGGGTGTGTATGTTGTGTATATAATGTGTGTATGTTGTGTATATAATGTGCGATGTTGTGTATATAATGTGTGTATGTTCTGTATATAATGTGTGTATGTTGTGTTTATAATGTGTGTATGTTGTGTATACAGTGATACCTCGGTTCACGAACGCTTCTGTTCACGAACAACTCGGTTCACGAACAGAAAAGTTCATAGAAATATGCTCCGGTTCACGAACTCCGCTTCGGTTCACGAACAGGAGCCACGGCCATTTTAATGCTATTTCCAGGCTGTCACATGGTCTTGACTTCCTGTAGGAAGATCGTGGAGAGAAGAAGAGACGCAGAAAGAAGTACTGTGAGTACTGTGAAGACACTTTCAGTGACTTTTTGCTTTTTGGTGTGCTTTTTAGCACATACAGTACTGTACTGTACTACTGTACTGTACTGTACAATACTTACTGAAGTAATCTCAAGCAAGGTTAGTGTTCTCTCTTTATACATTACTATACTGTACAGTACTAATGTGTATTGTAATTTGTTTCATATTTTTGTGCTTCAAAAACTAAAAAGAAGGTCAGAACGGATTAACCGGATTTACATTGAAACCTATGGGAAAATGTGCCTCGGTTCACGACCAATTCGGTTCGCGACCAGAGTCAGTTCACGAATTAAGTTCGTGAACCGAGGTATCACTGTATAATGTGTGTATTTTGGGTATATAAAGTGTGTATATTGTGTACATGCTGTTCATGTTATGTACGTTGTGCATATTGTGTATATGGTGTGCACGTTGTGCATATAATGTATATCGTGTACATGTTGTGTATAGTGTATACATTGTGTACATGGTGTACATGTTGTGTATAGTGTATACATTGTGTATATTGTGTATATGTTGTGCGCGTTGTGTACGTTGTGTACCTGCAGAAGCGACGCCGCCCGTGGTGCTGGTGACGTCGTGCGTCTGCTGTGCGCTCGCCCTCATCACGGTGGCCTCGTCCCTCCTCTACAGGTGACGTGGGGTAGTGTAGCAGGTAGTGTAGCAGGTAGTGTAGTAGTAGTGTAGTGTGTAGTGTAGTAGTAGTAGTGTAGTAGTAGTGTAGTAGGTAGTGTAGTAGTAGTGTAGTAGTAGTGTAGTAGGTAGTGTAGTGTAGTAGGTAGTGTAGTAGTAGTGTAGTAGTAGGTAGTGTAGTAGTAGTTTAGTAGTAGTGTAGTAGGTAGTGTAGTAGGTAGTGTAGTAGTAGTGTAGTGTAGTAGTGTAGTAGTAGGTAGTGTAGTAGTAGTTTAGTAGTAGTGTAGTAGTAGTGTAGTGTAGTAGTATAGTAGTAGTGTAGTGTAGTAGTGTAGTGTAGCAGGTAGTGTAGTAGTAGTGTAGTGTAGTAGTGTAGTAGTAGTGTAGTGTAGTAGGTAGTATAGTAGTGTAGTAGTAGTGTAGTGTAGTAGTGTAGTAGTAGTGTAGTGTAGTAGGTAGTATAGTAGTGTAGTAGTAGGGTAGTAGGTAGTGTAGTAGTAGTGTAGTAGTAGTATTGTGATGTAGTAGGTAGTGTAGTAGTAGTGTAGTGTATTAATAGTAGTGTAGTATTAGTAGTGTAGTAGTAGTTTAGTAGTGTAGTAGGTAGTAGTGTAGTAGTAGTAATAGTGTAGTGTAGTTGGTAGTGTAGTGTAGTAGGTAGTGTAGTAGTAGTAGTGTAGTTGTAGTAGTAGTAGTGGTGTAGTGTAGTAGGTAGTGTAGTAATGTAGTAGGTAGCAGTGTAGTAGTAGTGTAGTAGGTAGTGTAGTAGTAGTGTAGTAGGTAGTGTAGTAGTAATGTAGTAGGTAGTGTAGTAGTGTAGTAGTAGTAGTAGTGTAGTAGTAGTGTAGTAGTAGTAGTGTAGTAGTAGTAGTGTAGTAGTAGTAGTGTAGTAGGTAGTATAATAGGTAGTATAGTAGGTAGTGTAGTAGTAGTGTAGTTGTAGTAGTAGTAGTGTAGTAGGTAGTGTAGTAGGTAGTGTAGTAGTAGTGTAGTAGGTAGTGTAGTAGTGTAGTAGTAGTGTAGTAGGTAGTGTAGTAGTAGTGTAGTAGTGTAGAGTAGTAGTAGTGTAGTAGGTAGTGTAGTAGGTAGTGTAGTAGTGTAGTAGGTAGTGTAGTAGTGTAGTAGGTAGTGTAGTAGTGTAGTAGGTAGTGTAGTAGGTAGTGTAGTAGTGTAGTAGTAGTGTAGTAGGTAGTGTAGTAGGTAGTGTAGTAGTAGTGTAGTAGGTAGTGTAGTAGTGTAGTAGTAGTGTAGTAGGTAGTGTAGTAGTAGCGTAGTAGTGTAGTGTGTAGCGTAGTGTAGTAGTGTAGTGTAGTACACTACTACATGGTGTAGTGTGTAGTAGTAGTAGTAGATAGTGTAGTAGTAGTAGTGTATTAGTGTAGTAGTAGTGTAGTAGTAGTGTAATTTAATAGGTAGTGTAGCGCAGTAGTAGTGTAGTAGGTAGTGTAGTGTAGTAGTGTAGTGGTGTAGTGTAGTAGTGTAGTGTAGTAGGTAGTGTAGTAGTGTACGAGCGTAGCAGTGTAATAGTAGTAGTGTAGTAAGTAGTGTAGTAGTAGTAGTGTAGTGTAGCAGGTAGTGTAGTAGTAGTGTAGTAGGTAGTGTAGTAGTGTAGTAGGTAGTGTAGTAGTGTAGTAGGTAGTGTAGTAGTAGTGTAGTAGGTAGTGTAATAGTGTAGTAGGTAGTGTAGTAGGTAGTGTATTAGTAGTGTAGTAGTGTAGCAGTAGTAGTAGTGTAGTAGTGCAGTTGTGTAGTGTGTAGTGTAGTAAGTAGTCTAGTGTAGTAGGTAGTGTAGTAGTGTAGTAGTAGTGGTAGTAGTAGTGTAGTAGTGTAGTGTAGAAGTGTAGTAGTAGTGTAGTAGTAGTGTAGTGTAGTAGGTAGTGTAGAAGTGTAGTAGTAGTTTAGTAGTAGTGTAGTGTAGTAGTGTAGCAGGTAGTGTAGTAGTGTAGTAGGTAGTGTAGAAGTGTAGTAGTAGTATAGTAGTGTAGTGTAGTATTGTAGTAGGTAGTGTAGTAGTGTAGTACTTAGTGTAATATTGTAGTAGGTAGTGTTTTGGGTAGTGTACACTACACTACACACTACACTACACTATACACTACACTATACACTACACTATACTATACACTACTACACTAGACTACTATACAATACACTATACACAACACCACACACTACTACATTACAATACTACACTACACTATACACTACACTATACACTACACACTACACTTCACACTACACTATACACTACACTACACTATACACTACACTATACACTACACACTACACTATACACTACACTACACACTACACTACACACTACACTACACACTACACAATATACTACACTATACACTACACTATACACTACACACTACACAACACTACACACTACACTACACTATACACTACACTACACACTACACTATACACTACACTACACACTGTACACTATACACTATACTACACACTACACTACACTATACACTACACTATACACTACTACACTACACACTACACTACACACTACACTACACTATACACTACACTCTATACTACACACTACACTACACACTACACTATACACTACACTACACACTACACTACACTATACACTACATTACACTATACACTAAACTATACACTACACACTACAAAATACACTACACTATACACTACACTATACACTACACACTACACTATACACTAAACTATACACTACACACTACACTACACACTACACTATACACTACACTACACATTACACTATACACTACACTACACTACACACTACTACACTATACACTACACACTACACTATGCACTACACTACACTATACACTACACTACACACTACACTATACACTACACTATACACTACACTACACACTACACTATACACTACACACTACACTACACACTACTACACTATACACTACACACTACCCACAGGAGGGTGAGGTTGGAGAGCGAGTTGCGCAAGAGGCTGTGGCGTGTTCGCTGGGAGGATGTTGAGCTGCTGGGCGATGGCGCGGAGCGGCTGAGGAGGAGCAAGCTGGCGGCTGGGGGAAGACTGGACGCCTCTCCCGTGAGCCACTCAGCATGGAGTCTATAGTGTGTAGTGTAGTGTGTAGTGTAGTGTATAGTGTAGTGTATAGTGTAGTGTATAGTGTTGTGTATAGTGTAGTGTGTAGTGTAGTGTGTGTTGTAGTGTAGTGTGTAGTGTAGTGCGTGTTATAGTGTGTAGTGTAGTGTGTAGTGTAGTGTATAGTGTAGTGTATAGTGCAGTGTAGTGTATAGTGTAGTGTAGTGTATAGTGTAGTGTATAGTGTAGTGTGTAGTGTAGTGTATAGTGTATAGTGTAGTGTATAGTGTATAGTGTAGTGTAGTGTATAGTGTAGTGTGTAGTGCAGTGTGTAGTGTAGTGTATAGTGTAGTGTATAGTGTAGTGTATAGTGTAGTGTGTAGTGTAGTGTGTGTTGTAGTGTAGTGTGTAGTGTAGTGTGTGTTATAGTGTGTAGTGTAGTGTGTAGTGTAGTGTATAGTGTAGTGTATAGTGCAGTGTAGTGTATAGTGTAGTGTAGTGTATAGTGTAGTGTGTAGTGTAGTGTGTAGTGTAGTGTATAGTAGTGTAGTGTATAGTGTAGTGTATAGTAGTGTAGTGTATAGTGTAGTGTATAGTGTAGTGTATAGTGTAGTGTATGGTGTGTAGTGTATAGTGTAGTGTATAGTGTGTAGTGTAGTGTATATTGTGGTGTGTAGTGTAGTGTGTAGGGTAGTGTATAGTGCAGTGTATAGTGTAGTGTGTAGTGTAGTGTATAGTGTAGTAGTGTATAGTGTAGTGTATAGTGTAGTGTAGTGTATAGTGTAGTATAGTGTAGTGTATAGTGTAGTGTGTAGTGTAGTGTGTAGTGTAGTATAGTGTAGTGTATAGTGTAGTGTATAGTGTAGTGTATAGTGTAGAGTATAGTGTAGTGTGTATTGTATAGTGTAGTGTATAGTGTAGTGTATAGTGTATAGTGTAGTATAGTGTAGTGTATAGTGTAGTGTATAGTGTAGTGTATTGTGTAGTGTATTGTGTAGTGTATAGTGTAGTGTGTAGTGTAGTGTATAGTGTAGTATAGTGTAGTGTATAGTGTAGGGTAGTATATAGTGTAGTGTATAGTGTAGTGTAATGTATAGTGTAGTGTGTAGTGTAGTGTGTAGTGTAGTGTAGTATGTAGTGTAGTGTATAGTGTAGTGTATAGTGTAGTGTATAGTTTAGTGTATAGTGTGTAGTATAGTGTATTGTGTAGTGTATAGTGTAGTGTGTAGTGTAGTGTATTGTGTAGTGTATAGTGTAGTGTGTAGTGTAGTGTATAGTGTAGTGTATAGTGTAATGCATAGTGTGTAGTGTAGTGTATAGTGTAGTGTAGTGTGTAGTGTAGTGTATAGTGTAGTTTATAGTGTAGTGTAGTGTATAACGTAGTGTGTAGTGTATAGTGAAGTGTGTAGTGTAGTGTGTAGTGTATGGTGTATAGTGTAGTGTAGTGTGTAGTGTATAGTGTAGTGTGTAGTGTAGTTTATTAGTGTAGTGTGTAGTGTAGTGTATAGTGTAGTGTGTAGTGTAGTGTATAGTGTAGTGTCTAGTGTAGTGTGCAGTGTAGTGTATAGTGTAGTGTGTAGTGTATAGTGTAGTGTAGTGCATAGTGTAGTGTGTAGTGTAGTTTATTAGTGTAGTGTGTAGTGTATAGTGTAGTGTGTAGTGTAGTGTATAGTGTAGTGTATGGTGTGTAGTGTATAGTGTAGTGTATAGTGTGTAGTGTAGTGTGTAGTGTAGTGTATATTGTAGTGTGTAGTGTAGTGTGTAGTGTAGTGTATAGTGTAGTGTATAGTGTAGTGTGTAGTGTAGTGTGTAGTGTATAGTGTAGTAGTGTATAGTGTAGTGTATAGTGTAGTGTAGTGTATAGTGTAGTATAGTGTAGTGTATAGTGTAGTGTGTAGTGTAGTATAGTGTAGTGTAGTATAGTGTAGTGTATAGTGTAGTGTATAGTGTAGTGTATAGTGTAGAGTATAGTGTAGTGTGTAGTGTATAGTGTAGTGTATAGTGTAGTGTATAGTGTAGTATAGTGTAGTGTATAGTGTAGTGTATTGTGTAGTGTATAGTGTAGTGTGTAGTGTAGTGTATAGTGTAGTATAGTGTAGTGTATAGTGTAGGGTAGTATATAGTGTAGTGTATAGTGTAGTGTAATGTATAGTGTAGTGTGTAGTGTAGTGTGTAGTGTAGTGTAGTATGTAGTGTAGTGTATAGTGTAGTGTATAGTGTAGTGTATAGTTTAGTGTATAGTGTGTAGTATAGTGTATTGTGTAGTGTATAGTGTAGTGTGTAGTGTAGTGTATTGTGTAGTGTATAGTGTAGTGTGTAGTGTAGTGTATAGTGTAGTGTATAGTGTATAGTGTAGTGTATAGTGTAGTGTAGTGTGTAGTGTAGTGTATAGTGTAGTTTATAGTGTAGTGTAGTGTATAACGTAGTGTGTAGTGTATAGTGAAGTGTGTAGTGTAGTGTATGGTGTATAGTGTAGTGTAGTGTGTAGTGTATAGTGTAGTGTGTAGCGTAGTTTATTAGTGTAGTGTATAGTGTAGTGTGTAGTGTAGTGTATAGTGTAGTGTCTAGTGTAGTGTGTAGTGTAGTGTATAGTGTAGTGTGTAGTGTATAGTGTAGTGTAGTGCATAGTGTAGTGTGTAGTGTAGTGTATAGTGTAGTGTGTAGTGTAGTGTATAGTGTAGTGTATAGTGTAGTGTGTAGTGTAGTGTATAGTAGTGTAGTGTATAGTGTAGTGTATAGTAGTGTATAGTGTAGTGTAGTGTATAGTGTAGTGTGTAGTGTAGTGTATAGTGTAGTGTGTAGTGTAGTGTATAGTAGTGTAGTGCATAGTGTAGTGTGTAGTGTAGTGTATAGTGTAGTGTGTAGTGTAGTGTGTAGTGTAGTGTGTAGTGTAGTGTATAGTGTAGTGTAGTGTATAGTAGTGTAGTGTATAGTGTAGTGTATAGTAGTGTATAGTGTAGTGTAGTGTATAGTGTAGTGTATAGTGTAGTGTATAGTGTGTAGTGTATAGTGTAGTGTATAGTGTAATGTGTAGTGTATAGTGTAGTGTATAGTGTAGTGTATAGTGTAGTGTATAGTGTAGTGTAGTATATAGTGTAGTGTATAGTGTAGGGTGTAGTGTATAGTGTAGTGTATAGTGTAGTGTAGTGTATAGTGTAGTGTAGTGTATAGTGTAGTGTATAGTGTAGTGTAGTGTATAGTGTAGTGTATAGTGTTGTGTAGTGTGTAGTGTATAGTGTAGTGTAGTAATCGAGTTGCGTTGTCACTGCAGACGACCTCCCGACGTGGTTCCTTCTGCAGCGTCGAAGGCCCACGGGAGGGGTCCCCCACTGTGGCCTCCTACAAGGTACAGACCCCAGTCACTCACTCACACGTGGTGGTGGTGGTGGTGGTGATGGTGGTGGTAGTGGTGGTAGTGGTAATGGTGTTGGAGGTGATGGTGGTGGTGGTAGTGGTGGTGGTAGTAGTGGTGGTGGTGGTAGTAGTGGTGGTAGTGGTGGTAGTAGTGGTGGTGGTGGTGGTGGTAGTAGTGTTGGTGGTGGTGGTGGTAGTGGTGGAGGTGGTGGTAGTGGTGGTGGTGGTAGTGGTGGTGGTCTTGGTAGTAGTGGTGGTGGTGGTAGTGGTGGAGGTGATGGTGGTGGTGATGGTAGTGGTGGTAGTAGTGGTGGTAGTGGTGGTGGCACAGTAGGGGGCACAGGTGGTGCATCAGCCAGTTGTCTCAGTCATCTCAGTCAGTCGACCCGTGGCACCTGCTGGGTCTGCCCCGTGACCTCCTGCCAGGGGGCGTTCGACACTTCACGTGGCCTCAAGGTGCACATGGCCTGGCACAAGCGTCGTGGTGACGTCACCGCCACTTAGTTGCGAATGGCGGTTGTTGTTGTTGGTGGTAGTTGTGGTGGTAGTGGAGGTGGTGGTGGTGATAGTGGTGGTGGAGGTGGTAGTGGTGATAGTGGTGGTAGTGGTGGTAATAGTGGTGGTAGATGTGGTAGTGCTGGTGGTGATAGTGATGGTGATAGTGGTGGTGGTAATGGTGATTCAGGTGGTGGAGATGGTGGTGTGGGTATGGTGGTAATGGTAGTGATAGCGGTGGTGGTGGTAATGGTGATAGTGATGGTAGTGGTGGTGGTAGTGTTGGTAGTGGCGGTTGCAGTGGTGTCAGTGATAGTGGTGGTAGTGTTAGTGGTAAAAGTGGTGGGCTAGTTGAGGTGGTGGTGGTTATAATGTTGGTAGTGGTGGTAGTGGTGGTGGTAGTGGTGGTGTTGATGGTGGTAAAAGCCACTGCGAGTGGCCACGTGGAATGTTCGAACGCTCACCGCGGAGGAGAGGCTGCCACTCCTCTGTCGGGAGCTGGACCGGTACCGCCTGGATCTCTGTTGCATTCAGGAGGTCCGGTGGACTGTTTTAGATGTGTGTAGTGGAGGAGAGGCTGCCACTCCTCTGTCGGGAGCCGGACCAGTACTGCCTGGATCTCTGCGTCATTCAGGAGGTCCCGTGGGACCGGCTCTGGTGCCGGTCACCATGAGGGGTGTGGAAAGTCCTCCAGTCGGTGGCAGGAGAATGCCAATTTGACCAGGGTGTGGCTACTCTTTGGTTCTTATTTCGGTAAAGTCACGTATCAAAAGAAAGTAATACGTTAAATACTAGCATACAACGTTTCGATTGCAACACAAGCAATCATCATCAGGTATAAATGAAATAGAAACACAAATCTAGTATACTTAGAAATGTAATACAACAGAGAGTCGGATAACATAACAGTCAACACCCTATTATGTTATCCGACTCTCTGTTGTATTACATGACATTTCTAAGTCTACTATATTTGTGTTTCTATTTCTTTTATACCTGACGATGATTGCTTGTGTTGCAATCGAAACGTCGTCGTATGCTCGTATTTAATTTATTACTTTCTCTTGATACGTCACTTTACCGAAAGAACCACCAAAGAGTAACTCCTGCAGTCACGAACGCTCCAAATTAAGCAGGGAGTGGCTCTCTGATCCACATAATGTGGAGGGTGGGGGTGGTGGTGGTTGCGGGGCTTGGGAGCGTGGCGGTTCAGGTGTGGCTCCAGCGGTGGAGAGGTTGGTGGAGGATCTGGAGGCAAATATGGAGGACCGGCTGACACTACTGTTTATCCATTGGAACCTCATTTGCCAGTAAAAAATATGTTAATTTTTTTTTTACACTTTTATCTGGCAACAAAACTGAAACCTTTTTTCGTCAGTTTTGCTGCTAGATAGAAGGGTAAAAAACCAATTATCACTGCTGTTTCTCTTTCTGTCTTTCTGTCTCTTTGCTTGTCTCTTTGTCTCTCTCTCTCTCTGTGTCTGTCTCACTCTTTGTCTCTCTCTCTCTCTCTCTATGCATCTCTCTCTGTCTTTCTGTATCTGTCTGTCTGTCTCTCTCTCTCTGTCTCTCACTGTCTCTCTGTCTCTGTTTGTCTCTCTATCTATCTCTGTGTCTGTGTCTCTCTCTCTGTGTCTCACTCTGTGTGTGTTTGTGTGTGTCTGTGTGTGTGTCTGTGTGTGTGTGTCTCTGTGTGTGTCTCTGTGTGTGTGTCTCTGTGTGTCTCTGTGCGAAGGGCAACGTGGTGGTGGTGAAGCCCATCCTTAGAAAGAAGATCGACGTCTCCAGGAAGTTGCTGCTCGAGCTGAAGCACGTGAGTGTGTAGTGTATAGTGTAGTGTGTAGTGTAGTGTGTAGTGTAGTGTGTAGTGTATAGTGTAATGTATAGTGCAGTGTGTAGTGTAGTGTATAGTGTAGTGTATAGTGTAGTGTATAGTGTAATGTATAGTGTAGTGTGTAGTGTAGTGTATAGTGTAGTGTATAATGTAGTGTGTAATGTATAATGTAGCGTGTAGTGAAGTGTATAGTGTAGTATGTAGTGTAGTGTATAGTGTAGTGTATAATGTATAATGTAGTGTATAGTGTCGTGTATAGTGTAGTGTATATATATAGTGTAGTGTATAGTGTATAGTATATATGTAGTGCTGAACTTTACGCGGACAACTTATTCCTTTTCTGTGGTCACTTTATTTTGTCCAACTCGGCACATTTCGCCACCATCCTCTAGCGCATCCTCCGCTCCCTCCCTCGCTCGCTCCACCTCCCTCGCTCGCTCCGTATCTCCCGACTCTCCTCTCTGCTTCTCCGTCCCACTCCGACTGTCTCTCGTTCGGCGTCTTCTACTCCACTGCTACTCCACACTTCTTCTTCTGCTCCGACCGACTCCGTCCAGCTCCCAGGCACAACTTCCCGTCTCGCTCTCACGCTCCCCTATTTATCCCCCTCCTCATGTTGGCGTCATCTGGCCCAACACCATGTGAGACTAGGCTCTAAGGAAAGCTGTCTCGGGTGTGGACCAATCAACTTCAAGGACAGTGCACATACATTATCAGAGTTGTGTGTTTTGTTTGCATTACGACCGCAGGTATTGTGGTCTATGCAAACATGACTCCTTGTAAAAAAGGTGTCAGTTTTGTTGCCAGATAGAAGGGTAAAAAAACAATTATCATATTTTTTACTGGCAAATGAGGTTCCAATGCAATTTGCAATTAATTAACCAGCGTCCCCCCCCCCCCGATACCCACAGCCACCACCATCACCTGCCCCCATTCCCAGACTTAAGGGCGCCATGTTGTCCCTGACAACAGCAATCGGCCAATCACGGCCCTGCATCCCTAATTGCCTAACGGGTCGTCTCCGTCTCAATCGTTGTCCCCCAGCAACAGCGGCCGGACCCGGTACGACCCCACTGCTCCCAGCCCGCACGTGTTGACAATTACCCCCCTTGGCGAGCGTTAAAACACCGCATATAGTAGTGTGTAGTGTAGTGTGTAGTGTAGTGTGTAGTAGTGTATTGTAGTGTATAGTAGTGTAGTGTATAGTGAAGTGTATAGTAGTGTATTGTAGTGTATAGGGTAGTGTATAGTGTAGTGTATAGTAGTGTATTGTAGTGTATAGTGTAGTGTATAGTAGTGTATTGTAGTGTATAGTGTAGTATATAGTGAAGTGTATAGTAGTGTATTGTAGTGTATAGTGTAGTGTATAGTGAAGTGTATAGTAGTGTATTGTAGTGTATAGTGTAGTGTATAGTGTAGTGTATAGTAGTGTATTGTAGTGTATAGCGTAGTGTGTAGTGTAGTGTATTGTTTAGTAGTGTGTATAGTGTAGTGTATAGTAGTGTATAGGGTAGTGTATAGTGTAGTATGTAGTGTAGAGAATATTGTAGTATTTAGTATAGTGTATAGTAATGTATTGTAGTGTATAGGGTAGTGTGTAGTGTATTGTTTAGTAGTGTGTAAAGTGTGGTGTATAGTAGTGTAGTGTATAGTGTATAGTAGTGTATAGTGTAGTGTATAGTAGTGTAGTGTATAGTGTAGTGTTTAGTAGTGTAGTGTATAGTGTAGTTAATTGTATAGTGTAGTGTGTAGTGTATAGTGTGGTGTATAGTAGTGTAGTGTATAGTGTAGTGTGCAGTAGTGTTTAGCAGTGTCAGTAATCTCACACCCCCCCCCCCTCTCCCCCCCTCTGCCCCCCACGTGGTGTGAAGATGCGCGACCTTCAGAGTGACCACGTGACTCGCTTCGTGGGAGCTTCCCTGCAGCCCCCCCACGCCTTCATCCTCACCGAGTACTGCCCAAGGGGGAGCCTCAAGGTGGGAGCAGGGCCTGGGAGATGTTGACTACCTCGCCTGGTACACAGGAGGTCGTGGGTTCCATGCTGAGATGTTGACTACATCGCCTGGTACACGGGAGGTCGTGGGTTCCATGCTGAGATGTTGACTGCCTCGCCTGGTACACAGGAGGTCGTGGGTTCCATGCTGAGATGTTGACTACATCGCCTGGTACACAGGAGGTCGTGGGTTCCATGCTGAGATGTTGACTGCCTCGCCTGGTACACGGGAGGTCGTGAGTTCAATGCTGAGATGTTGACTACATCGCCTGGTACACAGGAGGTCGTGGGTTCAATGCTGAGATGTTGACTACCTCGCCAGGTACACAGGAGGTCGTGGGTTCCATGTTGACTACCTCGCCTGGTGTACAGGAGGTCGTGGGTTCAATGTTGACTACCTCGCCTGGTGCACAGGAGGTCGTGGGTTCAATGTTGACTACCTCGCCTGGTACACAGGAGGTCGTGGGTTCCATACTGAGATGTTGACTACCTCGCCTGGTACACAGGAGGTCGTGGGTTCCACGCTGAGATGTTGACTACCTCGCCTGGTACGCAGGAGGTCGTGGGTTCAATGCTGAGATGTTGACTACCTCGCCTGGTACGCAGGAGGTCGTGGGTTCAATGCTGAGATGTTGACTACATCGCCTGGTACACAGGAGGTCGTGGGTTCAATGTTGAGATGTTGACTACCTCGCCTGGTGCACAGGAGGTCGTGGGTTCCATGCTGAGATGTTGACTGCCTCGCCTGGTACACAGCAGGTCGTGGGTTCCATGTTGACTGCCTCGCCTGCTGTACAGGAGGTCGTGGGTTCAATGTTGACTACCTCGCCTGGTGCACAGGAGGTCGTGGGTTCAATGTTGACTACCTCGCCTGGTGTACAGGAGGTCGTGGGTTCAATGTTGACTACCTCGCCTGGTGCACAGGAGGTCGTGGGTTCAATGTTGACTACCTCGCCTGGTGTACAGGAGGTCGTGGGTTCAATGTTGACTACCTCGCCTGGTACACAGGAGGTCGTGGGTTCCATGCTGAGATGTTGACTACCTCGCCTGGTACACAGGAGGTCGTGGGTTCCACGCTGAGATGTTGACTACATCGCCTGGTACGCAGGAGGTCGTGGGTTCAATGCTGAGATGTTGACTACCTCGCCTCGTACGCAGGAGGTCGTTGGTTAAATCCCAGACCCAGACGATGCCTGCTGCTGCTGCTGCTGGTTATGTTTGTAGTCTGTGTCTCTCTCCCCGTGATGGTCGCCGCGTGGATTTGTCTCCGGAAGTAGCTGACTGCTGCTCTCAATATCCACGTGCTGAGCCACTTGGTAGAGCTGCTATCATGTGTGATGGCCTGGTCGCTTATGAGTGGTTGGGTGAATGGGTGAGTGGGAGGCTGAGTGAGTTAGTGAGTGAGAGGCTGAGTGAGTTAGTGAGTGAGAGGCTGAGTGAGATAGTGGCTGAGTGAGTGAGTGAGAGGCTGAGTGAGTTAGTGGCTGAGTGAGTTAGAGACTGAGTGAGTGGCTGAGTGGGTGAGTGGGTGAGTGAGTGGCTGAGTGAGTGAGTGAATGAGTGAGTGAATGAGTGAGTGAATGAGTGGGTGAGTGATTGAATGGGTGAGTGAGTGGTTGTGTGTGTGTATTAGTGTGTGTATTAGTGTGTGTGTGTGTCTGTGTGTTTGTGTGTTCCCGCAGGACATCCTAGAGAACTCGGCCATCTCCCTCGACTGGCTGTTCCGATATTCACTCCTCAACGACATCGTCAAGGTAGCCTCGTGCACCTAGCCTGGCACAGCGCTACACGACACGTGACACCTGCAGGGGCTGACTTGTTACCAGCACCACCACAACCACCACCACCACCACCGCTACTACCACCACTACCACCACCGCTACCACCATCACCACTACCACCACGACAACCACAACCATCACTACCACCACCACCACTACTACTACTACCACCACTACTACCACTACTACCACCACCACTACCCCCACCACAACTACCACCACTACCACCACCGCTACCACCACCACTACCACTACCCCCACCGCTACCACCACCACCACGACAACCACGACCACCACTACCACCACCACTACCACCACCGCTACCACCACCACTACCACTACCCCCACCACAACCACCACCACTACCACTACCACCACCGCTACCACCACCACCACGACAACCACGACCACCACTACCACCACCACTACCACCACCACCACCACCACCACTACCTCCACCACTACCACTACCACAACCACCACCACGACAACCACGACCATCACTACCACCACCACTACCACCACCACTACCACCACCGCTACCACCACCACTACCACTACCACCACCGCTACCACCACCACTACCACTACCCCCACCGCTACCACCACCACCACGACAACCACGACCACCACTACCACCACCACTACCACCACCACCACCACTACCCCCACCATAACCACCACCACTACCACTACCACCACTGCCTCCACCACCACTACCACCACCACCACTACTACTACCACCACCACTACCATCACCACCACCACTACCACCACCACTACCACCACCACCAATCGCTACCACTGCTGTTGTTGGTGGTGGCCACGAGAGGGATTCTACTCGTGGTCTCTGCCGTGGTTCGTGGCGCTGTGGGCATCGGCAGTAGCTGTAGCAGTAGGACACACACACACAGACACACCTACACACACACACAGACACAACAACAACAACAACCGCCATTCGCCACTAAGTGGCGGTGACGTCACCACGATGCTTGTGCCAGGCCAAGTGCACCTTGAGGCCACGTGAAGTGTCGAACGCCCGCTGGCAGGAGGTCACGGGGCAGACCCAGGTGCCACGGGTCGACTGACCGAGATGACCGAGATGACTGGCTGATGCACCACCTGTGCCCCCTACTGTGCCAACTTGCTGTGCTTTAGTCACCCGGCGCTCCGCTCGTTGTTGTGAGCGTCGCTCCTCCGCCCTCCGTTGTTGTTGGAGGGCGACTGCCTCCAACTGCCCAGTAGCGTTCTTCACGAGCCTCCTCCACTGAGGCCGATCTTGACACCGCTGGTACCGGTCATCGGCAAGTCCACTCAGCTCCACGTCCTCCTGTACCACGTCACTCCATCTCTTCTCCAGCCCGTGCCGCGCCCGTCTAGCCCCCTCGATCCGGCCGAACAAAAGCTGTTTAGGCATGCGGTGGCTGGGCATGCGGGCTACAAGACACACACAGACACACACACACAGACACACACACACAGACACACACACACAGGGACACACACAGACACACACACAGAGACACACACACAGACACACACACACCCACACACACACACAAACACACACACACCCAGAGAGCTCGTCACAGTGTCGCCGCTTGATGCGTTCCTTATCCACGCTCGCTCGAGCACGAATCAGGCTCTGATCTGTCACAGATCGAGCTCTGATCGAGCATGGATCGAGGAACGAACCGAACGTGTGTGTCTGTGTCTGTTTGTGTGTTTGTGTGTGTCTGTGTGTGTCTGTATGTGTGTGTCTGTGTGTGTGTGTCTGTCTGTGTGTCTGTGTGTGTGTGTATCTGTATGTGTGTGTCTCTGTGTGTGTGTCTGTGTCTGTGTGTGTTTCTGTATGCGTGTCTCTGTGTGTGTGTGTCTGTGTGTGTGCTTGTGTGTGTCTGTGTGTGTGTTTGTGTGTGTGTCTCTGTGTGTGTCTGTGTGTGTGTGTATCTGTGTGTGTGTCTGTATGTGTGTCTCTGTGTGTGTGTCTGTGTGTGTCCCTGTGTCTGTGTGTCTGTGTGTGTGTGTCTGTGTGTGTGTGTCTGTGTGTGTCTCTGTGTGTGTGTGTCTGTGTGTGTCTGTCTGTGTGTCTGTGTGTGTCTGTGTGTGTGTGTCTGTGTGTGTGTGTGTCTGTGTGTCTGTGTGTGTGTCTGTGTGTCTGTGTGTCTGTGTGTGTGTCTCTGTGTCTGTGTGTGTGTGTCTGTGTGTCTCTGTGTGTCTGTGTCTTTGTGTGTGTGTCTGTGTGTGTGTGTCTGTGTCTGTGTGTGTGTCTGTGAGTGTGTGTCTGTGTGTGTGTGTGTCTGTGTGTGTGTGTGTAGGCGATGCAGGTGCTACACGGCAGCGTGATAGTGTCCCACGGCTCTCTGTCGTCCTCCACGTGCGTCGTCAACTCGCGATTCGCCCTCAAGGTGACGGACTACGGCCTGCCCAGCCTGAGGGCCCACAGGCCCAGCCTGAGGGCCCACGGGCCTGGCCTGAAGGCCCACGGGCTCGACCGCCGGGGAGCCAGGGACGCCTACGCCAGTGAGAGACACTCACTGTTCACTCACTGTTCACTCACTGTTCACTTACTACAAAGAGATGCTGTTCACTTACTACAGAGAGACATTCACTGATCTCTGTGTGTGTCTGTGTGTGTGTCTCTTTGTGTGTGTGTCTGTGTGTGTGTGTCTGTGTGTGTCTGTGTGTGTGTGTCTGTGTATCTGTCTGTGTGTGTGTCTGTGTGTGTGTCTCTGTCTGTGTGTCTCTGTGTGTGTGTCTGTGTGTGTATCTGTGTCTGTGTGGGTGTCTCTTTCTGTGTGTCTGTGTGTCTGTGTGTGTGTCTCAGAGTGGCTGTGGACAGCCCCCGAGTTGCTGCGCTCCGAGCGGCCTCCACCGCAGGGCACCCAGCGGGGAGACGTCTACAGCTTCGCCATCATCACACAGGTGACGTCACATCACCATCATCACCACCACCACCATCATCACCATCATCACCATCATCACCACTATCATCACCATCATCATCACCACCATCATCACCATCATCATCACCACCACCACTATCACCATCATCACCATCACCACCATCATCACCATCATCACCATCATCACCACCATCACCACCATCACCATCATCACCATCATCACCACCATCATCACCATCATCATCACCATCATCATCACCACCATCACCACCATCACCACCATCATCATCACCATCATTATCACCACCATCACCATCATCACCATCATCACCATCATCATCACCATCACCACCATCACCACCATCACTACCATCACCACCATCACCACCATCATCATCACCACCATCACCACCATCACCATCATCACAATCATCATCATCACCATCACCATCATCACCACCATCACCACCATCACTACCATCACCACCATCACTACCATCACCACCATCACCGTCATCACCATCACCCAGCGAGGAGATATCTACAGGGGGTCTCTGTGGGTCTCTGAGGGTATCTGTAGGTCTCTGTAGGTCTCTGTAGGTCTCTGTGGGTTTCTGTGGGTCTCTGTAGGTCTCTGTGGGTCTCTGTGGGTCTCTGTGGGTTTCTGTGGGTCTCTGTGGGTTTCTGTGGGTCTCTGTAGATCTCTGTGTGTCTCTGTGTGTTTCTGTAGGTCTTTGTGGGTCTCGATTTAAAGCTTTCGTGACTGCAGGGATTCATCTTCTTGGTTCTTTCGGTAAAGTCACGTAGAAGGGAAGTAATAAAATAATAAAAATACTTCCCTTCTACGTGACTTTACCGAAAGAACCAAGAAGACTTTGTGGGTCTGTGTAGGTCTCTATGGGTCTCCGTGGGTCTGTGTAAGTCTACGTGAGTCTCTATGGGTCTCTATGCATCTATTTGGGTCTCTGTGGGTCTCTGTGAATACTCCATGGGTCTCCGCGGGTCTCTACGGGCGAGCCTACATGTGTGTCTGTGTGTGTGTGTGTCTGTGTGTGTGTGTCTGTATCTGTGTGTGTATGTGTGTATGTGTGTGTCTGTGTGTGTGTCTGTGTGTGTGTGTGTGTCTGTGTGTGTGTGTCTGTGTCTGTGTGTGTCTGTGTGTCTGTGTGTGTGTGTGTCTGTGTGTGTGTGTCTGTGTCTGTGTGTGTCTGTGTGTCTGTGTCTGTGTGTGTGTCTGTGTGTGTGTCTGTGTGTGTCTGTGTGTGTGTCTGTGTGTGTGTCTGTGTGTGTGTGTCCGTGTGTGTGTCTGTGTGTGTGTCTGAATGTGTGTCTGTGTGTGTGTGTCTGTGTGTGTGTCTGTGTGTGTGTGTGTCTGTGTTCTATGTCGATGTGATCTTCACAGGAAGTCGCTCTCCGGCAGGGACCCTTCTACCTGCAAGGGCAGCAGCTGAGCCCCAAAGGTTAAAGAGCAGACAAAGGTCCCCTGTAAAGCCTCCAGCAGGCGATAGGGGGCAAGTGATGTTAGTGGTAGCGAGTTGCCGCACATACAGACACACACACACAGTCACACACACAGACACAACAACAACAACAACAACCTCCATTCACCACTAAGTGGCGGTGACATCACCACGACGCTTGTGCCAGGCCATGTGCACCTTGAGGCCACGTGAAGTGTCGAACGCCCGCTGGCAGGAGGTCACGGGGCAGACCCAGGTGCCACGGGTCGACTGACTGAGATGACCGAGACGACTGGCTGATGCACCACCTGTGCCCCCTACTGAACCAACTTGCTGTGCTTTAGCCACCCGGCGCTCCGCTCGTTGTTGTGAGCGTCGCTCCTCCGCCCTCCGTTGTTGTTGGAGGGCGACTGCCTCCAACTGCCCAGTAGCAGCGTCCTTCACGAGCCTCCTCCACAGAGGCCGATCTTGACACCGCTGGTACCAGTGATCGGCAAGTCCACTCAGCACCACATCCCCCTGTACCACATCACTCCATCTCTTCTCTAGCCCGTGCCGCGCCCGTTTACCCCCCTCGATCCTGCCGAATAAAAGCTGTTTAGGCATGCGGTGGCTGGGCATGCGGGCTACATGACCCAGCCAATGCAGCCTTGCCTGCCGGAGGAGCTCACCGATGGGATTAGTGAGTTCCTCACACAACCCAGCCTGGTTAAACCCAGGATGGATCATAGGCAGGCCAGCCTAAATGTTTCTAACCGGCGAAGATGCTCCATTAGGGGGGTCCACGTTTCGCAAGTGTAGAGAAGGGAGGGAATGACTGTGTCCGAGAAGACCTGAAGCTTCGTGCGGAGCGCAGACCAGGTAGCTTCCACAAAGCGTTACGCAGCCGATTAAAAGATAATGCCACTCGACTGATTCGGAGTAAGACCTCTGCTGCTAAACTGTAGCCTGTCATGAGTACACTGCCCAGGTATGGGAAACTCTCCACTCTCTCCACAACTGCCCTATCACCGATTGGGAGTTGTGGGGGTGGAGTGTCCGATGGTACAAAATATCCAGGCAGGTGCTTAGTTTTGGTGGGGCTGATGGTAAGGCCCCACCTCTTAGTGGCACGCTCCAGGTTCAGCAGCAGCGCATCCAACTCCTCCTCTGAGTGAGCAGCAATTATGAGATCATCGGCATACATAACGTGGTTGAGCAATAGGGAGCCATCCCTTGACCACACCCGGGCATCGATCAGCCTCCCATTATATCTGTAGAATGGAAATTCCTCCGCTACAGCTATTGAAGGCTTCATGAACTACGTGGTCAAAATAGATGTTAAATAATGTGGGAGCCAGAGGACATCCCTTTCACACCCCAAGGTGTACAGGGAATGGCTCTGACTCCCGGCCACGTAGTTTTACCCGGGCCTGCTCACCATCATGAAGGTCCTTAATGAGCGTAAGCAGAAGGTCAGGGACTCCAAAAGCACGAAGAACAACCCAGAGCCCAGGCCTACTGATGGTATCATAGGCCTTGACCAGGTCAATGAAGCAGAAATGTGGATCTTGTAGGAATTCCCTACACTTCTGCTGTAGCAGATGGACAGAATATATGGCATCTGTGCAGGACCGCCCTTTCCTGAAACCGCATTGGGGCTCCGCAAGCCTCTCCTCAGCGTGCCTAGCAAGGCGATGTTGAATAATCCTTGCCAGGACCTTTCCCGGCACATTGAGGAGTGAGATGCCCCTGTAGTTGTTACAGTCTGTGTGCGGTCACCCTTCTTAAAGAGGGGGACCACCAGGGCATCCTTCCAGTCCTGCGGAACTCGTCCAGTGGTCCAGACTGTTGTTATCATGTCATGTAGGGCAGTCTGTGCACAAACGCCACCCTCCCTCAGCATTTCACTTGGGAGATCATCTCTGCCCGGTGCCTTTCCTGGTCTCAGACTCCGGATCGCCTTCAGTACTTCCTCAACAGATGGCACCTCAGCCAGCCACTCACACGGGGTGAATTCCTCCTCCAATATTTGAGGCACCGCAGCCTCAGCAGGGTTATCCCCACTTTGTGCCATGATGTTTTCCTGGCTGAGAGATTTCCCCTCCCCCAGGACCTCACAGAAATGCTCAGCAAATCTGCAAACCTCTTCTTGGGGGTCGGAGATTGGATCACGGTTCTTTCCTCTAATGATGGTAATAGGTGTGGCGCTGCAGGTTACTTTTTTGATGGAGATAAATAGTGATTTTTGATCGTGGGCCACTGAGGCAGACTCCATCTCCTCAGCAACCCACAACCACCACCCATCCTTGAAGCGCCTCCCGGCTCTCCGAGCGAAGGTTGCGGTAAGCCTCATTCTCTGATGTGGGATGCTGCAGAAGATTAGAGTGGGCCTTTCGCTTTTTCTCAACAATCCTGAACACCTCCTCTGTCAGCCAGGGTCTCTGCGGAGGTCTGGACCATGTACCGAAAGCAGCCATTGCAGCTGCATGAGCCACAGTCCTAAACCTCGCCCATTTACCCTCGACATCAGGAGGATTGGGGGACGATGCCAACCCCAGCCACAAGCGATGATGAAATTCTCACTTGCAACTTACATCAGCTAGCTGAGACCAGGCCACCTTAGGTTGGAATGGGGTCTTGGGTGTACACCCACCACCGGAGTGGAAGAAAGGCATGCGCATCTTACAGATGACAAGTCGATGGTCAGAGGGCAGATCAGCTCCACGGTAGGTCCTGGTGTCAAGCACATGGGCTCGCATCCGCTTGTCCGTCACTATGTAGTCCAGCAGATGTTCTTGCTTGGACCCGGCATGCATTCATGATGTTGTGTGGATGCGCCGATGCCAGAACAGCGTGTTGGTAATTACAAGCCCATGGGCTGCACAAAAATCTAGCAGCCTCCTACCGTTGTTATTGAGCTGATCTGACCCATGCCTTCCAATCACTCCAGACCAGGTGCCAGCATCATGACCAACTCGGGCATTGAAGTCACCCAACAAGATGACTCTATCCCGAGGGGCCACTTTAGCCAGCACCTGTGACAGGTCATCGAAGGCATCTGACTCATCGGCCTTGCCTGCATCCCTCCACGGATGTTCGTCTTCAGTGGGAGCATAAGTAACCACGACCACCACTCCTCACCTCCGGTTGATGGGAATGCGAGCACAAAGTAGCCTTGGGCTTACAGCTTCCCACACCTCACCGCTACGCTCCCACATCCCCTTCATTTTTTTGTTCAGTAGAAGAGCCACTCCCTGTTGTTAAGGCAGTCTCCTGCCCCGAGTAGAGGACTGCCCACCCCTCATGGTGGCAGGAGCCAGAGCCGGTCCACCGGACCTCCTGAATGCCACAGAGATCCAGGCGATACCGGTCCAGCTCCCGACAGAGGAGTTGCAGCCTCTCCTCCGCAGTGAGCATTCGAACATTCCACGTGGCCATCTGTAGTGGCTTTTTGTTGTTTCTGGAGGAGCCTCGAGGGTAAAGATTCAATCTACTGGCTCCGCCAATTGGGGTTTGGCCAGGAGACGTCATAGACGCCTGTCCCCTCGGGACCTCCGGCACAAGCTTATTTATTACATATTTTTCACGTGGGTTTGTGGTAATTTATTGAAGGTGGAGGGGTTACCAGCCCCTCGCACCCGTCCAGAGCTCCAATTTAGCCGCTGTGGTGGTCACCAACGCCCACGGCAGCGTTGCCCGTCCGGCACCATGAGGAGGTAGGGGGTTGTTTTTGCTGGACTACAGACACACAGAGACACACACACACAGGCACACACGCACACAGACACACACACAGTCACACAGACACACAGACACACACAGACACACAGCCTGTTACAGACTGTTGGGGCAAGTGATGTTAGAAAGCAGCGCCTATTTAGTGAGTGGCTGAGTGAGTAGCTAAGTGAGTGGCTGAGTGAGTGAGTGGCTGGGTGAGTGTGTCTGAGTGAGTGTGTGAGTAAGTGAGTGTCTGAGTGAGTAAGTGGCTGAGTGAGTGTCTGAGTGAGTGTCTGAGTAAGTGAGTGGCTGAGTGAGTGGGTGAGTGGCTGAGTGAGTGTCTGAGTGAGTGTCTGAGTGAGTCAGTGACTGAGTGAGTGGCTGAGTGAGTGGCTGAGTGAGTCGGTGGCTGAGTGAGTGCGTGTCTGAGTGAGCGAGTGAGTGGCTGACTGAGTGGCTGAGTGAGTGAGTGTCTGAGTGTCTGAGTGAGTGAGTGTCTGAGTGAGTGAGTGAGTGGCTGAGTGAGTGGCTGAGTGAGTGAATGGCTGAGTGAGTGAATGGCTGGGTGAGTCAGTGAGTGTGTGAGTGAGTGAGTGACTGAGTGTCTGAGTGAGTGAGTGAGTGGCTGAGTGAGTGACTGAGTGAGTGACTGAGTGAGTGACTGAGTAAGTGAGGGTCTAAGTGAGTAAGTGGCTGAATGAGTGTCTGAGTGAGTGAGTTGTCTGAGTGAGCGAGTGAGTGGCTGACTGAGTGGCTGAGTGAGTGAGTGTCTGAGTGTCTGAGTGAGTGAGTGAGTGGCTGAGTGAGTGGCTGAGTGACTGAGTGAGTGAGTGTCTGAGTGAGTGAGTGTCTGAGTGAGTGACTGAGTGTCTGAGTTGAGTGACTGAGTGCGTGATCTCTGCCACATGCACAGAGGTGGTGCTGGAGGTGCAGAGGGAAGGTCGCCAGCCCCCACTGCGCCCTTCTCTGGACCCCGTCGTGTCTGGTGCTGACCCTCTGCCTGAGCTCGCTCGCCTCGCCGCTCGCTGCTGGGACGAGAAGCCGGAGCTGCGGCCGGACTTCAGTGCCATCCGCCAGGCCATGCACAGACTCAACAGGTGCGTGCAGTCAACCAGCCACTCACCCAGCCACTCACTCACTCACTCAGCAACTCAGCCACTCACTCAGCCACTCAGTCACTCAGTCACTCACTCAGCCACTCAGTCACTCACTCAGACACTCACTCACACAGCCACTCACTCAGCCACTCACTCACCCACTCAGCCACTCATCTCTCACCACAGCGGACAGACCTCCAACCTGCTTGACCAGCTGCTGTGTCCCATGACTCAGTACACCGCCACTCACTCACTCACTCGCCCACTAACTCACTCACTCACTAACTCACTAACTCACTCTCTCTCTCACTAACTCACTCTCTCTCACTAACTCACTCACTAACTCACTCACTCACCCATCTCTCACCACCACAGCGGACAGACCTCCAACCTGCTTGACCAGCTGCTGTGCCGCATGACTCAGTACACAGCCACTCTCGAGCAGCTGGTGGAGGAGCGCACAGCGGACTACCTGGAGGAACGGGCCCGGGCCGAGAACATCGTCTACCAGATCCTGCCCCGGTGGGCCGCGTCACTACGTAGTGCATAGTGTAGTGTAGTGGGTAGTGTAGTGGGTAGTGTAGTGTGTAGTGTATAGTGTAGTGGGTAGTGTAGTGTAGTGGGTAAGGTAGTGTAGTAGGTAGTGTAGTGTGTAGTGGGTAGTGTAGTCGGTAGTGTAGTGTAGTGGGTAATGTAGTGTGTAGTGTGTAGTGTAGTGTATAGTGTAGTGTGTAGTGTAGTGTATAGTGTAGTGTAGTGGGTAGTGTAGTGGGTAGTGTAGTGTGTAGTGTAGTGGGTAGTGTTTAGTGTAGTGTGTAGTGTAGTGTGTAGTGTAGTGTAGTGTGTAGTGTAGTGTGTAGTGTAGTGTGTAGTAGGTAGTGTAGTGTGTAGTGTAGTGTGTAGTGTAGTGTGTAGTGTGTAGTGTAGTGTGTAGTGTAGTGGGTAGTGTAGTGTATAGTGTAGTGGGTAGTGTTGTGTGTAGTGTAGTGTATAGTGTAGTGTATAGTGTAGTGAGTAGTGTAGTGTAGTGGGTAGTGTATAGTGTAGTGTGTAGTGTAGTGTATAGTGTAGTGTAGTGGGTAGTATAGTGTAGTGTATAGTGTAGTGTATAGTGTAGTGAGTGTATAGTGTAGTGTATAGTGTAGTGTATAGTGTAGTATATAGTGTAGTGTATAGTGTAGTGTATAGTGTAGTGTAGTGTATAGTGTAGTATATAGTGTAGTGTATAGTGTAGTGTATAGTGTAGTGTATAGTGTAGTGTATAGTGTAGTGTATAGTGTAGTGTATAGTGTAGTGTGTTGAGTGTAGTGCAGTGTGTAGTTTAATATATGCCATTGTATGTTGTGCCATAGAGTTGCGTTGAGTTGAGTTGCATTGAGTTGAGTTGCATTAAGTTCCATTGAGCTGAATTGCGTTGCATTCATTTGCAGTGAGTTGCATTGAGTTGCATTGCATTGAGTTGCAGTGAGTTGCATTGAGTTGCATTGAGTTGCACTGAGTTGCATTGAGTTGCGTGTCGTTGCAGCACTGTGGCTGAGCAGCTGAAGAGGGGACAGAGCGTGGTGGCAGAGGCGTTCCACTCCGTCTCAGTCTACCTGAGTGACATCGTCGGCTTCACAGCTCTGTCTGCTGAGAGCACTCCCATGCAGGTGCCTTGAGACACACACAGACACACAGACACACAGACACACACAGAGACACACACACAGTGACACACACACAGAGACACACACACAGAGACACACACACAACAACAACCGCCATTCGCCACTAAGTGGCGGTGACGTCACCACGATGCTTGTGCCAGGCCAAGTGCACCTTGAGGCCACGTGAAGTGTCGAACGCCCGCTGGTAGGAGGTCACGGGGCAGACCCAGGTGCCACGGGTCGACTGACCGAGATGACCGAGATGACTGGCTGATGCACCACCTGTGCCCCCTACTGTACCAACTTGCTGTGCTTTAGCCACCCGGCGCTCCGCTCGTTGTTGTGAGCGTCGCTCCTCCGCCCTCCGTTGTTGTTGGAGGGCGACTGCCTCCAACTGCTCAGTAGCGTCCTTCACGAGCCTCCTCCACTGAGGCCGATCTTGACACCGCTGGTAAAAGTCATCGGCAAGTCCACTCAGCTCCACGTCCTCCTGTACCACATCACTCCATCTCTTCTCTAGCCCGTGCCGCGCCCGTCTAGCCCCCTCAATCCGGCCGAACAAAAGCTGTTTAGGCATGCGGTGGCTGGGCATGCGGGCTACATGACCCAGCCAACGCAGCCTTGCCTGCCGTAGGAGCTCACTGATGGGACTTTTCCCAGATCTTTCAAGGATTTGTGAGCTCCTCACACAATCCAGCCTGGTTAAACCCAGGATGGATCGTAGGCAGGCCAGCCTAAATGTTTCCAACCGGCGAAGATGCTCCACTAGGGGGGTCCACGTTTCGCAAGCTTAGAGAAGGGAGGGAATGACCGTGGCCGAGAAGACCTGAAGCTTCGTGCGGAGCGACAGACCAGGTAGCTTCCACACAGCGTTACGCAACCGATGAAAAGATATTGCCGCTCGACTGATTCGGAGTGAGACCTCTGCTGATAAACTGGAGCCGGTCATAAGCACACTGCCCAGGTATGGGAAACTCTCCACTCTCTCCACAACTGCCCCATCACCAATTGGGAGTTGTGGGGGTGGAGTGTCCGATGGTACAAAATACCCAGGCAGGTGCTTAGTTTTGGTGGGGCTGATGTTAAGGCCCCACCTCTTAGTGGCACGCTCCAGTCTCAGCAGCAGCGTCTCCAACTCCTCTTCTGAATGAGCAGCTATTACCAAATCATCGGCATACATAACGTGGTTGACCAATAGGGAGCCATCCCTTGATCGCACCCGGGCATCGATCAGCCTCCCATTATATCTGTACCAAATGGAAATTCCCCCAGTACAGCTATTGAAGGCTTCACGAACTACGCGGTCAAAATAGATGTTAAATAATGTGGGAGCCAGAGGACATCCCTGTCGCACCCCAAGGTGTACAGGGAAAGGCTCCGACTCCCGGCCACGTAGTTTTACCCGGGCCCGCTCACCATCATGAAGGTCCTTAATGATCGTGAGCAGAGGGTCAGGGACTCCGAAAGCACGAAGAACAACCCAGAGCCCAGTCCTACTGATGGTATCATAGGCCTTGACCAGGTCAATAAAGCAGAGATGTAGGTCTTTTTGGAATTCCCTACACCTCTGCTGTAGCAGACGGACAGAAAATATGGCATCTGTGCAGGACCGCCCTTTCCTGAAACCGCATTGGGGCTCCGCAAGCCTCTCCTCAGCGTGCCTAGCAAGGCGATGTTGAATAATCCTTGCCAGGACCTTACCCGGCACACTGAGGAGTGAGATGCCCCTGTAGTTGTTACAGTCGGTACGGTCCCCCTTCTTAAAGAGGGGGACCACCAGGGCATCCTTCCAGTCCTGCAGAACCCGACACACACACACACACAGACACACAGGCACACAGGCACACACACAGACACACACACAGACACACACAGAGACACACAGACACACACAGAGACACACACAGAGACACACACACAGAGACACACACACACAGACACACAGAGAGATACACACACAGACACACACAGACACACACAGAGACACACACACAGAGAGACACACACAGAGACACACACACACAGACACACACACACAGACACACACACAGACACACACACAGAGCACACACAGACACACACACAGAGACACACACAGAGACACACACAGACACACACAGAGACACACAGACACACACACAGAGACACACAGAGACACACACACACAGACACACACAGACACACACACAGACACACAGAGACACAGAGACACACACAGACACAACAACAACAACCGCCATTCGCCACTAATTGGCGGTGACGTCACCACGACGCTTGTGCCAGGCCAAGTGCACCTTGGGCCACGTGAAGTATCGAACGCCCGCTGGCAGGAGGTCACGGGGCAGACCCAACAGGTGCCACGGGCCGACTGACCGAGATTACCGAGATGAATGGCTGATGCACCACCTGTGCCCCCTACTGTGCCAACTTGTTTGTTCTTGTGTGCAGGTAGTGGCTCTGCTGAACGAGCTCTACTCATGTTTCGACGAAGTCATTGACAGCTTCGATGTCTACAAGGTAGTGGCTGCTGTCTGTGTGTGTGTGTGTCTGTCTGTGTGTGTGTCTGTGTGTGTGTGTCTGTGTGTGTGTCTGTGTGTTTGTCTGTGTGTGTGTCTGTGTGGGTCTGTGTGTGTGTCTGTGTGGCTGTGTGTCTGTGTGTTTGAGTCTCTGTGGGTCTCTGTGGGTCTCTGTGGGTCTCGTGGGTCTCTGTGGATCTCTGTGAGTCTCTGTGGGTCTCTTTGAGTCTCAATTGGTCTCTGTGGATCTCTGTGGATCTCTGTGGGTCTCTGTGAGTCTCTGGGTCTCTGTGGGTCTCTGTGGGTGTCTCAGTGGGTCTATGTGAGTGTGGGTCTCTGTGGGTCTTTGTGGGTTTGTATGGGTCTCAAGGCACCTCTGTGGTTGCTGCTACCTGTAGGTGGAGACTATTGGCGACGCCTACATGCTGGCATCAGGCCTGCTGGCACCTGACGATACCAGCAGGAGTCCCAGCACAAGTAGAAGCACAAGTAGCAGCACAACCAGCAGCAGCAGCAGCCAGAGTCAGCACCAGCAGCACTGCTCGCTCGCCAGAGCAGCCTTGGCACTCCAGGCCAGAGTGAGGGTGTTGGGGATTCCACACCGGCCCGGGCAGAGACTCCAACTGCGGGCAGGAATACACACAGGTAGGGAGGGTGGGTGGGTGTGGGGGTGGGTGGAGGGATGGGGGTGTGGGTGGGGGTGGGTGGGTGGGTGGGGGGTGTGTGTGGGTGTGTGGGGGGGGTGGGTGAGTGGGTGTGTGTGAGTGTGTGTGGGTGGGTGGGTGGTGGGTGGGTGGTGGGGGGGGTGGGGGGGTGGGTGTGTGGGTTTGTGTGTGTGTGGGTGGGTGGATGGGTGAGTGAGTGGGTGGGTGATTGGGTGGGTTAGTGGGTGAGTGGGTGAGTGGGTGTGTGTGTGGGTGGGTGTGGGTGGGTGTGGGTGGGTGTGTGGGTGCGTGGGTGTGCGTGGGTGTGCGTGGGTGTGCGTGGGTGGGTGTGGGTGAGTGTGGGTGTGTGTGGCTGGGTGTGGGTGGGGGTGAGTGTGGATGTGTGTGGGTGTGGGGTGTGTGTGGTGTGTGTGTGTGGGTGTGTGTGTGCGGGTGTGTGTGTGTGTGTGGGTGTGTGTGGGTGTGTGTGTGTGTGGGTGTGTGTGTGTGGGTGTGTGTGTGTGTGGGCTTGTGGGTGTGTGGGTGTGGGTGTGTGTGTGTGGGGTGTGTGTGTGTGGGTGTGTGGATGTGTGTGGGTGTGGGTGTGTGTGGGTGTGTGTGGGTGTAAGTGGGTGTAAGTGGGTGTGTGGGTGTGGGTGTTGGTGTGTGTGTGGGTGTGAGTGTGGGTGGGGGGGTGATGATGATGATTGTGGTGATGGTGATGGTGGTGATGATGATGGTGGTGATGATGGTGATGATGATGGTCATGGTGGTGATGATGATGGTGGTGATGGTGATGGTGGTGATGATGGTGGTGATGATGATGATGGTGGTGATGGTGGTGATGGTGGTGATGGTGATGATGGTGGTGATGGTGGTGGTGATGGTGTTGCAGGCCCCGTGTGTGCAGGAGTGGTTGGTCTCAAGATGCCGCGCTACTGCCTGTTCGGTAATACGGTGAACATCGCCGCTCGAATGGAGTCACATGGAGAAGGTGAGAGAGTGGAACACTCACTCAGTCACTCACTCAGTCACTCACTCAGTCAGTCACTCAGTCACTCACTCAGTCACTCAGTCACTCACTCAGTCACTCACTCACTCAGTCACTCACTCACTCAGTCACTCAGTCACTCACTCAGTCACTCACTCAGTCACTCACTCAGTCATTCAGTCAGTCACTCACTCAGTCAGTCACTCACTCACTTAGTCACTCACTCAGTCACTCACTCAGTCACTCAGTCACTCACTCAGTCACTCACTCACTTAGTCACTCACTCAGTCACTCACTCAGTCACTCAGTCACTCACTCAGTCACTCAGTCACTCACTCAGTCAGTCAGTCACTCAGTCACTCACTCAGTCACTCAGTCACTCACTCACTTACTCACTCAGTCACTCAGTCACTCACTCACTCACTCAGTCAGTCACTCACTCACTCACTCACTTAGTCACTCACTCAGTCACTCACTCAGTCACTCAGTCACTCACTCAGTCACTCAGTCACTCACTCAGTCAGTCACTCAGTCACTCACTCAGTCACTCAGTCACTCACTCACTCACTCACTCAGTCACTCAGTCACTCACTCAGTCACTCAGTCACTCAGTCACTCAGTCACTCACTCAGTCACTCAGTCACTCAGTCACTCACTCACTCAGTCACTCACTCAGTCACTCACTCACTCAGTCACTCACTCAGTCACTCACTCACTCAGTCACTCACTCAGTCACTCACTCAGTCACACACTCAGTCACTCACTCACTCAGTCACTCACTCACTCAGTTACTCAGTCACTCACTCAGTCACTCACTCGGTCACTCACTCACTCAGTCACTCACTCACTCAGTCACTCAGTCACTCATTCACTCACTCAGTCACTCAGTAACTCACTGATTCACTCAGTCACTCAGTCACTCACTCAGTCACTCAGTAACTCACTCATTCACTCAGTCACTCACTCAGTCACTCAGTCACTCACTCAGTCACTCAGTCACTTACTCAGTCAGTCAGTCACTTAGTCACTCACTCAGTCACTCAGTCCCTCACTCACTTACTCACTCAATCACTCAGTCACTCACTCACTCAGTCACTCAGTCACTCACTCAGTCACTCACTCACTCACTCACTCAATCACTCAGTCACTCACTCACTCAGTCACTCACTCAGTCACTCAGTCACTCACTCACTCAGTCACTCACTCAGTCACTCACTCACTCAGTCACTCACTCACTCAGTCACTCACTCAGTCACTCACTCAGTCACTCACTCACTCAGTCACTCACTCAGTCACTCACTCACTCAGTCACTCATTTCTCCCGTAAGAAATCAAGGGAAAGGAAATAATCCGTTCCAGAGGAAAATAAATGATATTTTACGTGGCATGTTGTACATTTAATGGGGTTGTATGAAACAATTTAGACACCGAATACTCAAATGCTACAGAAGCCACGTGACCACGTTGCTGCCAGCTGCGCTGGTCACGTGACATGGCTCTACCCTCCATGGGGGCAGCCCCCACCCCACCCCCATCCCCCCCACCCCTCTCCCCCACGCCCCCCACCCCTCTCCCCCACCCCCACCCCCCACCCCCCCACCCCCCCCACCCCTCTCCCCCCCCACCCCTCTCCCCCACCCCCCCACCCCTCTCCCCCACACCCCCACCCCCCACCCCTCTCACCGACCCCCCCACCCCTCTTCCCCCCATCCCCCCCACCCCTCCCCCACCCCCATCCCCCACGCCTCCCACCCCTCTCCCCCACCCACCCCCATCCCCCACTCGTTAATAACAATACTATAAATTCGTTAAGAAAATCCTTGCAGTGATGTTGTTGTTGTTGTTTTCTCTCCACAGCTCTCAAGATCCTTGCAGTGATGCTGTTGTTGTTGTTTTCTCTCCACAGCTCTCAAGATCCTTGCAGTGATGTTGTTGTTGTTGTTGTTTCTCTCCACAGCTCTCAAGATCCTTGCAGTGATGTTGTTGTTGTTGTTTTCTCTCCACAGCTCTCAAGATCCTTGCAGTGATGTTGTTGTTGTTGTTATTTTCTCTCCACAGCTCTCAAGATCCTTGCAGTGATGTTGTTGTTGTTGTTGTTTTCTCTCCACAGCTCTCAAGATCCTTGCAGTGATGTTGTTGTTGTTGTTGTTTTCTCTCCACAGCTCTCAAGATCCTTGCAGTGATGTTGTTGTTGTTGTTGTTTTCTCTCCACAGCTCTCGTGATCCTTGCAGTGATGTTGTTGTTGTTGTTGTTGTTTTCTCTCCACAGCTCTCAAGATCCTTGCAGTGATGTTGTTGTTGTTGTTGTTTTCTCTCCACAGCTCTCAAGATCCTTGCAGTGATGTTGTTGTTGTTGTTGTTTTCTCTCCACAGCTCTCAAGATCCTTGCAGTGATGTTGTTGTTGTTGTTGTTGTTTTCTCTCCACAGCTCTCAAGATCCTTGCAGTGATGTTGTTGTTGTTGTTGTTGTTTTCTCTCCACAACTCTCAAGATCCTTGCAGTGATGTTGTTGTTGTTGTTTTCTCTCCACAGCTCTCATGATCCTTGCAGTGATGATGTTGTTGTTGTTGTTTTCTCTCCACAGCTCTCATGATCCTTGCAGTGATGTTGTTGTTGTTGTTGTTGTTTTCTCTCCACAGCTCTCAAGATCCACGTGTCAGCCTCCACCAAGGCGGTTCTTGAAGAGAGCGGCGACTTTTATCTGGAACCACGCGGGGAGCTGGACATGGAGGTGACCGTGACAGTGACAAGTGGCTAGCAAGTCACCTACACAGGGCGCTGTCTCCATGACTACCTACTGACTCAGTCACTCACTCACTCACTCAGTCACTCACTCACTCAGTCACTCACTCAGTCACTCACTCAGTCACTCACTCACTCAATGGCTAGCAAGCGTAGTCACCTACACAGGGCGTTGTCTCCATGACTACCTACTGACTCAGTCACTCACTCACTCACTCAGTCACTCACTCAGACACTCACTCAGTCACTCAGTCAGTCACTCACTCACTCAGACACTCACTCAGTCACTCAGTCAGACACTCACTCAGTCACTCAGTCAGACACTCACTCAGTCACTCACGCACTCACTCAGACACTCACTCACTCAGTCACTCACTCAGACACTAACTCACTCAGTCACTCAGTCAGACACTCACTCTTCTCAGTCACTCAGTCAGTCACTCACTCACTCAGTCACTCACTCACTCACCCATTCAGTCACTCAGTCACTCACTCACTTAGTCACTCACTCACTCAGACACTCACTCAGTCAGTCACTCACTCAGTCACTCAGTCAGTCACTCAGTCAGTCACTTACTCACTCACTCAGTCACTCACTCAGACACTCACTCACTCAGACACTCACTCAGTCACTCAGACACTCATTCAGTCACTCACTCAGTCACTCACTCAGTCACCCACTCACTCAGTCACTCGCTCAGTCACTCACTCACTCAGTCACTCACTCACTCAGTCACTCACTCAGACACTCACTCAGACACTCACTCAGTTACCCACTCACTCAGTCACTAACTCACTCAGTCATTCAGTCAGTCACTCACTCACTCAGGCGCTGTCTCCATGGTTACCTACTGCCTGTAGTCACCTACACAGGGCAATGTCTCCAAGGTTACCTACTGACTGTAGTCACCTACACAGGCGCTGTCTCCATGGTTACCTACTGCCTGTAGTCACCTACACAGGGCGCTGTCTCCATGGTTACCTACTGCCTGTAGTCACCTACACAGGGCGCTGTCTCCATGGTTACCTACCGACTGTAGTCACCTACACGGGCCCTGTCTCCATGGTTACCTACTGGCTGTAGTTCGTGGTGTTGTTGTCTTCCAGGGTGGAGGGTCTATGGCGACCTTCTGGTTGCTGGGGGAGAGAGACGGAGCATCGGAGGGGCGGGTGGAAGAGTCGATGCAGTGAGGAGGGTGGAGAGGGGTGGACGGACCACGCCGGGATGGGTGGAGCGGAACGCGATGGAACTACCAACATCAACACCATTACCACCATCACCATCATTACCACCATCACCACCATCATCACCACCACCACCACCATCATCACCACCACTACTACCACCATCATCACCATCACCACAACCACCACCATCATCACCACCACCATCACCACCATCATCACCACCACCATCACCACCACTACCACCATCATCACCACTACCGCCATGATCACCACCATCACCACCATCATCACCACCACATCCGCCATCATCACCACCACCACCACCATCATCACCACCACATCCGCAATCATCACCATCATCATCACCACCACCAATATCACCACCATCACCATGGTGCTGCTGACTGCCAGTAAACATCGTCACAGATGGAAGCTACACGTGGATATTTGTCTTTATTGTGAGTGAGTGAGTGGGTGAGAGTGGGTGAGTGAGTGGGTGGGTGAGTGGGTGAGTGAGTGAGTGGGTGGGTGGGTGTGTGAGTGGGTGAGTGGGTGAGTGAGTGAGTGGGTGGGTGGGTGAATGAGTGGGTGAGTGGGTGGGTGAGTGAGTGAGTGAGTGGGTGAGAGTGGGTGAGAGTGGGTGAGTGAGCGGGTGGGTGAGAGTGGGTGAGAGTGGGTGAGTGAATGGGTGAACGGGTGGGTGAGTGGGTGGGTGGATGAGTGAGTGAGTGGGTGAGTGGGTGAGTGAGTTAGTGAGTTTGTGGGTGGGTGAGTGAGTGAGTTGGTGGGTGGGTGAGTAGATGGGTGTGTGAGTGAGTGAGTATGTGGGTGGGTGAGTGAGTGGGTGGGTGAGTGAGTTAGTGAGTTGGTGGGTGAGTGGGTGGGTGAGTGAATGGGTGGGTGGGTGGGTGTGTGGGTGGGTGGGTGGGTGAGTGAGTGGGTTAGTGAGTGACTGAGTGGGTGGGTGAGTGGATGAGTGAGTGAGTGGGTGTGTGAGTGGGCGGGTGAGTGAGTGAGCGGGTAAGTGGATGGGTGGGTTTGTGAGTGATTGGGTGGGTGAGTGAGTGGGTGAGTGAATGAGTGGGTGGGTGAGTGAGTGAGTGAGTGGGTGAGTGAGTGAGTGAGTGGGTGGGTTGGTGGGTGAGTGAGTGAGTGGGTGGGTGGGTGAGTGAGTGGGTGGGTGGGTGGGTGAGTGGGTGGGTGGGTGGGTGAGTGGGTGGGTGGGTGGGTGAGTGGGTGGGTGGGTGGGTGAGTGGGTGGGTGGGTGGGTGAGTGAGTGGGTGGGTGGGTGAGTGAGTGGGTGGGTGGGTGAGTGAGTGGGTGGTTGAGCGAGTTGGTGAGTGGGTGAGTTGGTGGGTGGGTAGGTGAGTGATTGGGTGGGTGAGTTAGTGAGTTGGTGGGTGAGTGGGTGAGTGAGTGGGTGGGTGAGTGAGTGGGTGAGTGAGTGGGTGAGTGAGTGGGTGGGTTGGTTGGGTGAGTGAGTGGGTGGGTGAGTGGGTGAGTGGGTGAATGGGTGAGTGAGTGGGTGAGTGAGTGGGTGAGTGAGTGGTAAGTTGGTGAGTGGGTGGGTGAGTGGGTAAGTGGGTGAGTGGGTGAGTGGGTGAGTGAGTTGGTGAGTGGGTGAGTGGGTGGGTGGGTGAGTGGGTGGGTGGATGGGTGAGTGGGTGAGTGAGTTGGTGGGTGAGTGGGTGGGTGGGTGAGTTAGTGGGTGGGTGAGTTAGTGGGTGGGTGAGTGGGTGGGTGAGTGGGTGGGTGAGTGAGTTGGTGGGTGGGTGAGTCAGTGGGTGAGTCGGTGGGTGAGTTGGTGAGTGGTTGGGTGAGTGAGGTGGGCGGAGTCTGTGGGCGGGGCCCAGGCTCTCGGATGACGTCATCGATCACCTGGCAGGAAGTGAAATTCGCGCGATGTCACGTGGTGCCGTAGGCAGCGCCAGGCCGTGAGGTAATCAGCTATTGGTGGTTGTGGTGGTGGTGGTGATTATGATGGTGGTGATGGTGATGATGGTGGTGATGGTGGTGGTGATGGTGGTGATGATGATGGTGGTGATGATGATGGTGGTGATGATGGTGATGATGATGGTGATGATGATGGTGGTGATGATGGTGGTGATGGTGATGATGGTGGTGATGGTGATGATGGTGGTGATGGTGGTGATGGTGGTGGTGATGGTGGTGATGATGATGGTGGTGATGATGGTGGTGATGGTGGTGGTGGTGATGATGGTGGTGATGATGGTGATGATGGTGGTGATGGTGGTGATGATGATGGTGGTGATGGTTATGATGGTGGTTATGATGGTGATGATGGTGGTGGTGATGATGGTGATGATGATGGTTATGATGGTGGTGATGGTGGTGATGATGGTGGTGATGATGATGATGGTGGTGGTGATGATGATGGTGATGATGACAATCTAGGGGAGGCGCAGGATCGGTTCAAACATGAGCCAGTGTTGTCCGTCGTGAGTGGGAATTCAACTCGGCGCAGCGCGCTAATCGCTGCGCCACCGATCCCCACACTGCCCCCCCCCCCTAGGTCGACTCAGCCTCAACCGAGTACTCGGCGCGGCGTGTAAACATCGCCACGAGGGAGACACAGGAGGCCGCGCGTGGTGCTGGCCACCCACCCACCCACCCCTCGTGTGCCACAGTGCCGGCCTTCATAGGTGCTGCTACTCGCTAACAGCAGCACTTGCCCCAACAGTCTGTTAAGGCTACACGGGGGATCTTTGTATCGAGGAGTGTGTGTACCGTGGGGGAGATGCGTGTTAAGAGTGTGTGTCACTGCAGGTGTATGTGTGTGTGTGTGCTGCATGTGGTGGTGGGGGAGTGTATGGCGGGCGGTGGCACAGTGGTTAGCGTGCTGCGCTACGAACCCGGCCACCCGAGTTTGATTCCAGCTCACAGCTAACACCAGTGAAACCGGTCCTGGGCCTCCCCTAGGTCGCCTCAGCCTCAAGTTAGTACCTGGTGGGGTGTATAAACATCGCCACTCGGGACACAAAGGTGACCTGGCGTGGTGCTGGTCACGCACTCGCTAATAGCACTTGCCCCAACAGTCCATAGTGCCTATACGGGGTATCTTTGTCTCCCTTTGATGCTGCTAATCCTGCAAAATGCACGGGCATAAGTAGTACTAATCACATACTTGCATTTCCCATAAATATACAAAATTACTCTTGATATGCATATTATTTTGTCTTCTCGTCCTCTGGCTTGAGATGGCTGCCACCTATGGGTCAGATGATTGCCTGCCACCATTAAGCAATTGGTAATTAAATATAAAAAAAAATTCCTAAAAAGTGTAAAACTTTTTGAAAAATATTTTTCACGAAAATAAATTGTCACGCACAACGAGTCTGTGTGGAAAATGTCAGCTCGATTGGATCACCGGAAGTGGGTTAAAAAACGACCGAAAGATTTGCACGGTCGTAAGCGCTCAAGCAAGCAAGTGAACTTAATATAAAGGATTTAAAAAAGAAAAACAGAGCAATGTAATACAATACATTATTAGACATTATTGTTAAAAATAAAGACAAAGTCCATCCGGGGGGGGGACTCCAGAACCCCCTAGAAGATTTGCCCCCCCCCCCCCAAAGTTGACGCCATGGCTACGGCTAGGCCTCGGCAAGGGAAGGTGATTTACCCTTTTTAAATCCTTTATATTAAGTTCACTTGCTTGCTTGCTTGCGCGCTTACGACCGTGCAAATCTTTCGGTCGTTTTTTAACCCACTTCCCGTGATCCAATCGAGCTGACATTTTGCACACAGACTCGTTGTGCATGACAATTTATTTTCGTGAAAATTTTTTTCAAAAATTTTCCACTTTTTAGGAAAAACAAAAATTTCATATTTAATTTAAAATACCAATGTGATAAAAATGAAATTCTTACTCAAGATGAACAGAAATGAATAATAAAATAAAACCGATGCCACGCATATAAAGGATTTATAGTGAAAAACTTTGTTTTTACGGGTTAATTTTTTACCTTTTACCTTACCTGCTAAAGGGTAAAAGGTATGGTAGAGTGATCGTATTGCGGTAAGGTAAAAGGTAGGGTAAAGGTGGCTCGTTGTTTTTAAATCCTTTATATTAAGTTCACTTGCTTGCTTGCTTGCGCGCTTACAACCGTGCGAATCTTTCGGTCGTTTTTTGACCCACTTCTCGTGATCCAATCGAGCTGACATTTTGCACACAGACTCGTTGTGCGTGACAATTTATTTTCGTGAATGTTTTTTGCAAAATGTTCGACTTTTTAGGAATTTTTTTTTAAAATATTTTATTTAAATTACCAATGTGATAAAAATGAAACTCTTACTCAAGAAAAACAGAAATGAATAATAAAATAAAACCGATGCCACGCATATAAAGGATTTATAGTGAAAAACTTTGTTTTTACAGGTTAATTTTTTATCTTTTACGTTACCTGCTAAAGGGTTAAAGGCAGGGTAGAGTGATTGTATTGTGGTAAGGTAAAAGGTAGGGTAAAGGCAAGGCTCGTTTTTACCTTTTAACTCTTACCTTGCCGAGGCCTAGCTACGGCCTCGCTCTTTTGTATCCATTTACACCTCCTTGCATCGTCCATCTCTCACACTCACCCCCAATTTGCAGATGGAGCGCCGGCTAATGCTTGCTCTCGACGTCCCTGAGAATGACCCCGGGCCCTTCCCCAAGCGGCTGGTTTAGGTAAAGGCCCCCTCCCCTCACCCCCTCTACCCCCATAACCCTCCCCCACCGGCGTTGAAGTTGACTAGCGCGGCGGTCGTCACGGCGGTGGCGGAAGAGCGCAGGGCGCTAGCGGCAATCCGGCGGTGGTGACGTGGCTCGCACCTCGCGGCAAGGAAGGTGTCCTGGGTTCGACCCCCAACTCGGGTGCCGTGCTGCGTACGTTCAACCCCCTGTTCGGCAGTGTGCGAGTGTCATGCGTTGGTGAGTGTAAGGGTGAATGTGTGTGTGTGTGGTATGTGGTGTATGTGTCTTTGGGGTTTGTGGTGTTGTATTTAGCATGCCATACATCAGCATGTGATGTTTGTGTGTGTGTGTGTACACATGTATATATGTTGGGGGAGCGGTGGCCAATTGGTTAGCACGCACTGCGCTCTGAACCTGGCGACGTGAGTTTGATTTCCACTTACAGCTCACACCCAGTGACAGTTATCTGAACTTGGTCTCAAATAAGTACCCGGTGCGATGTATAACTGTCTCCACTGGGGAGACCAAGGCGGCCGGGTGTGTTGGTAACTGCATATCACATCCCCTCGTGTGCCATGCCGGCCTTCATATTTTCTGCTGCGCGCAAACTGCCCTTGCCCCAGCAGTCTGTTGAAGGCTATCCGGGGTACCTTTGCGTACGTGTATCCACGTGATGTACGAGCGTACATCATGTAACGCCGTCCCCTGCCGCCTCCCCGACCCCACCTGCGCCTTCCCCGTGTGTGCTCTCGCGCGTGCGCCCCCACAGATCAAGTCGAACACGCATGAAAATACTCTTAGTTCTATCGGTAGTCACGTAGGTAAAAAATGAAATTAAAATTAATAAAGAAAAAAACTAAAAAAAACTAAAAAACTAAAAATAATAATATTAACTTTTTTTCATTTATTTTTTTAAATCCTTGCAGTCACGAAAGCTTCAAATCTAGAACACATGAAAATGCGCGTTATCGCATCGCGGGGCCCGGAGCCGACCAGGACCCCATCGGGGTTTTCATCGTGGATCCTGTGACCGGGTGGCTTTCGGTCAGCAAGACCCTGGACCGCGAGCTCGTCAAAGAGTACCTGGTGAGGCACTCACACTAGTGTAATGCGAGCGTAAACGGCCTCGCGGATATGACGTAACAGGTGGGAGGAGTTGGGTCACGTGGGGAGAGGGAGTGCTTTTAAGGGCAGGAACCGGAAGGGCTGGAGGAGAGTGTGGGAAGAAAGAAAGGTAGGAGGATGGCGTTAGCGGTCGAGATGCCTGAGGCTCCAGTGTGCCCGGGACCGGCCGATGGGGTTCTGAACCTTCCACGAGCGGTGTGGATCCGTGAACAAATGCTTGATGACTCGTTGGGGACCCTGCGGAGTCGGGCTGCAAAGGGAGGGGGGGGACTGGTTTCCGGGGGGACCCTGGGGGCCGCTCTCCGCGATGGACTGCTGATGTGGAGGGAGGGGTTATATGATCGCTGGCATCTGGTTGTACCGTCGTCGTTACGGTACGAATTGATTAGGACTCTGCATTGCGACACGCTATTACACCTGGGGGTGCAGAAAACCTTGTTGACGTTGCAGCGAGACTACTTCTGGCACGGCATGACGACGGATGTCGTCAGGCACGTTCGTGTGTGTCCCGAGTATGCCCGGCGGAAGCCGCCTAAACACCCATATGTGCCGCCGATACAGTCTATTCGGGTGTCTCGAGTTAACGAGTTGGTGGCGTTGGATATTTTGGGACCCTTCCCGCCATCCGCTAAGGGTAATAAATACTTGCTAGTTGGGGTGGAGTATCTCTCCCGCTGGCCGATGGCCTGGCCCTTGCCCGACCAGTCGGCGGCGTCCATTACAGACGCCTTTCTATTTGGATATGTCATGGACAAAGGGGCGCCGGAGAGGCTGCTCACTGATCAGGGCCGGAATTTTTCTTATAAATTGTTGGGGGAGGTGTGCGCTGCTTTGGGGACCAAAAATATCCGGACATCCCCCTACCACCCGCAGACGGATGGCATGGTGGAAAGACTAAATCGGACGCTGTCAGCCATGCTGTGTCACACGGTTAATGAGAAGCAAGCTGACTGGGATTTGCACATCCCTGGGGTACTCTCGGCATACCGGATGACGCCTCACGCGTCCACAGGATATTCTCCGTTTTTTCTCATGTACGGTCGCGAAAACGTGCCGCCAATGGATGTGCAGTTGGGAATGGGAGTGAGAGGACCTACTAAGCCTCTCCCCGACTACATTCAGGACGCCGTTCGCCGCGTCGCTGAGGCGCGGGAGGGGGCCCGAGTGGCTACTGCCAAAACCCAGGCCCGAAACAAACGTTGCGCTCGATGCTCGAAGGGGAAGTGCCCCTGGAAGGTGGGGGATATGGCTTGGCTGCATTGCCCGCAGGTGCGAGCAGGAGCCTCCCCTAAACTGCATAAACCATGGCAGGGGCCTGTTAGGCTCATTGAGGTTCCTAACCCGCAGTCCGCGCGCGTTCGGTTCGGAGCTCGGCGCTGGTACGTCCATACGTCTCGCTTGAAACCATACGTGGCCCCTCGAACGGATGCGTCATCTCCTGATGTTGCCTTGCCGGTGTCTGTTGCTGCCGACGCACCCTTGCCTGTGCCTGTTGACCCTGCAAGAGCGCCTGTCGTGCCTTCTACAGACAAACTGGCCGTGACACTGCAGGAGGCAGCGGACTCTGCTCGGGGCGGGCCTATTACGGCTGCGGGGACACCTGGCCCCGCCGCCCTTCCAACCACACCACAGACACGCCGTGTGGTGGCGTGGTGCGTACGGTTATGTCCGTAAACTCGGGGGGATTATCGTTGATGTCGGCGATGGTGACGATGGCGGTGGCTGTGTTTGTGAGGCCGATGTCCGGGTCGCCCTCCAAGTCTGAGGCCTGCACCACCAGCACGTACTGCGGCGTCGTCTACATCGACGGGGCACACAGACAGCACCAATCACAGACAGACAACGGGGACAAACATTCATCGTGCAGCCTCAACAGACCTTTGGGGCAAGTGCCGTTAAGCAAGCGGCCACTGTGGAAGGCCGGCACGCCACACGAGGAGGTGGGTGGCCAGCATCACGCCCGGCCGCCTTTGTTTCCCTAGTGGGGATGTTTGCACACTGCAGCAGGTACTAATTTGAGGCTGAGTCAACTGTCACCAGTGTTGGATCGAACTCGGGTCCCCGGGTTCGTAGCGGAGCGCGCTCGCCGCGACACTGTCGCTTCCGAGACACACTAGAAGAAGAAGCCACTGGAGCTGAAAACTCGTTTCTTTAGATCCGCTTTTCATGTTAAGCCTGTCGCCCTTCCCTCGCACCTCCGGTCAGCGCGATCGTCTACGTACGGTGCGCGACAGACGCTCAACGTATGTATATACACACCGAAAACACAAATGTAACACTGTACACGCAACGCCAGAGATTAGCCACCACCGCCCGGACCGACATCGGCCAATCAGCGGCGGTTGCCGCGGGACAACAACCCACCTCGCGGTCCAGCCCGGCGGCGATGGTGCTGATGACGCCCGTGGTCTTGTCGATGGTAAACACGCGGTCCAAGGGCTTCGTGGGAACCTGCGACACGATCTTGTAGCGGTTCATGCCGTTGGGCGATAAGGCGTCGTCCTCGTCACTTGCCGTGACCGTCATCACTGGCGTGCCTACCGGGGGTGGGAGGGCGGGGAGGGAGGAGGGCAGGGAGGGCAGGGGAGGGCAGAGGTGAAGGGCAGGGAGAGGGGCGTGGACATGGTGACTCTCAAGAACAAACATTATATTCGTTCGCATCGCAACCACCACCATTCTTGTTATGCTCAACATCGTCGTTGCCAGCAGCACGCGTCGCCACCGACCATCCACATGGGCGAACCGGCCGCGCGCATCTAGTTTCCGCGCCGTATCCGCGGTCTGTCTCAGCCGAAGGGTTCAGATCGTGAGCGTCAAGGTGCCGTGTTCACGGAAGCAGAGGGCTTGGCCGTCCCCACACTTGTCCTGGAACACGCCATACTCGCCCCCCACCTAGGCGTAGTACTCATGCTCTAGTTTGAGCCTCGCCACCAGCAGACCTCTCGTCATGGCCACCGCCGAGCAGCCCTCGTCTGCGGTTGTGTCGCTTTTTAGTTTTTTTTTGCGCGTTTTGTAAATGGCCATTTTTGCCTGGGCAAGAACAAAGTTCGCTAAGCTGTGGCGCTTTTTCGCTCTGCGTGGTGTTCCACATACGAGGCTGCTCTTGAAAAAAGTCACTTCCAACTTTCTGAAAGATTGATCCTAACATCTTGAAAAGTGGCGTCAGCCTCTGGCACCCTATGTATTGGTGGGCAAGATCTTCTCTTTGGCCGCAAAAAGCGCACGAATCGGACGCTCCTGGGTTGATCTTCTTTACCCACGCCGCCGAAGGCAGTGCCCAATGGGCGAGCCTCCATTGGAGGTCTCCGCTCCGTTTCGCCACTGGGGCCTTGTATAGTTCTCCCCACTGAGGGGTGACGTCTATCAGCGGGGGAAAAACGTCCTACCACTTCATGCACGGCAGGTCTTTTAAGGCTTGACGGTGCAGAGTCTTTACGCAGCAGCTATATATCGCCACCTTGGAGGCGCCTTTGAGAGCCACGTTCCCGCAGTCTTCAAGCTTAAGCAGCATGCCTGCGTCACTCCGCCCAGGGACCTGGACACAGGCAGCATGTAGCTCCGGGAAGGCAGGAAGGGGAGGCTGAGCCGAGTCGGTGTCGTCTGGTGTGTGTATCTGTAGTTGCAAGTTTTTCGCTCTTTTGAGTACTCCACGCAGTATTTTCTCCCCGGCCAGCATTGTGCGGAGACCTGCGGCGTGGCTTATGTCAGCCGCGTTCTTCCACTTTCGGTGGTCGTTGTGGCTTTCCACCAAGTCGCCGACTGTTTTTATGCTGGCTTTGGTGAATCGGAAAGCCATCGTCTTTTCTTGTTTCAGCTCCCCGATGAGGTCGTTAAAGAACAGGGGTTCTGTTAGAAAAGCGTTCACACTGCAGTATGGGCTTTCCCTGACCCACTCTAGGCTTTGCCACGCTTATCCCAGGCTTCGGGTATATGATGGTAATCTAGATGGAAATTCGTCAGGTACAGATATTGAAGGCTTCACGAACTACGTGGTCGAAATAGATGTTTAATAATGTGGGAGACAGAGGACATCTCTGTCTAAATCCCTAGGTGTACAGGAAATGGCACGAATTGAGAGTTGTGGGGGTGGAGTGTCCGTTGTTACAAAATACCCAGGCAGGTGCTATCACCATCACACCCCCGTCACCGCCGCGCCCATCTGCACCTGGTAGGGAGCCCTCATCCACGGAGCCCTGGATAACGGGCATCTCGAAGTGCGGCCTGTTGTCGTTAAGGTCCTGCACGTTGATTAGGAGATGCACGTCATTATCCACCGCGTGGCCATTCTTATCCACCGCGTGGCCGTTGACCTGCAGTGGATACGCAACACACGCGCAATGCACACGCAACGCACACGCAACGCACATGCGCGTTACACGCAACGCACGTGTGGTTGTAATCGCCGACGTTGGGATGTTTAGAGTTGGCCAAACATCCCTCCTCTCGAGCGGTGGTTGGTTCTCTGAGAGTCCCACCTGGACCACCGACGGGCCGTGCCGGTACTCCTGGAGGTCCGCTGGGCTGCGAAGCTGATTGCAGGTTGATCCGCAAACGTTTACGCCTTTTGTTTCGGACGTTAAGATTTTACTCGTGATATTGAAAATTGTAAATAAAATGAGGTAAACCGCCCCGATTAAATTACCCGAACCCCGATATCTAAATTCTCCGCGTAAAAAAACAAAACCGTTCTAGCTGCGTTAATGTTCTTTTAATGTTCCGGTAATATGAATATATTTGAGTAATATTGGTACTTAGAGAATTGAATGTTTTTGTCACCAGGGGCGGGAGGCACTTGCACCCCGGAATTGTTGACGTTGACCGAGTGGTCCGGCGGGCAGGACATTTGAGAACTCCACAATCGAGGCCTGGACCTCGCTAGGCCAACACACGCGCGGGGTGTGGTGCTAGTGTGAGTGCCTCACTAGGAACTCTTTGATGAGCTCACGGTCCAGGGTCTTCGTAACAGAGAGCCACCCGGTCACAGGATCCACGATAAACACCCCCATGGGATCCTCGTCTGCTCCGGGCCCCGCGATGCGATAACGTGCATTTTCATGTGTTCTAGATTTGAAGCTTTCTTGAATGCAAGGATAAAAAAAATGAAATAAAAGTTAATATTATTTATTTTTTTGTTTTTATTTTTTGGACTTGATCTGTGGGGGCGCACGCGCGAGAGAGCACACACGGGGAAGGTGCAGGTGGGGTCGGGGAGGCAGCAGGGGACGGCGTTACATGATGTACGCTCG